TTGTGGATTATATTTGAGATCAAGGAGGTCTTATAATCCTCATTATCCGTTGCCAAGGATATAAATCTTAAGTTTTAATAAGAATTGACCAGCGAGTTAATTATAGGAGCAGAAAGATATATCAAGCTCCTCAATCAATGTCATTACTTTCCGCGATATCTGTCAGTTCAGCGGGTAGTTTGGAAAATAAGGAATGCCGGAATTCGGATCCGGAACCGGAATACTCGGAATACCGGGAATACCCTGAATTCCCAAAATGACCGAAAAATAATAAATTTGAAAAAGATAAAAGTAAATTGATAAATGAATAAGAATATTGATGATTAAGAGTAAATGGTAAATTCACAACTTAATCAAATAATTTAATGCGAAATTTTTCTCCATTAATTTCCATCTCAAAAGCCGAAATATGGCAAATACTTACAGCTTTGTATGAAAGCGATCCTCGCAGTAATGAACCCTACTTATGTAGTAGTGGAAATAAGACCTGAAAAAAGTGCTTTCCAAACTACCTTTTCAGCATGATTTCATAGATTGGAGTCACATAGTCATTGAAGGATGCCATTTAGTGCATCTTCGCAGTTAATCAGATATAATGAGATTCTTAACCAAGCAGAAAGCCGCATATTCCTTTCATCACCTGGGTAATAATGCTGATATTTCATGGCGCATTTCATCTAAAAACTTGAGTTAAGCACTCCATATGAGCAAGTTGCACTTTGACAGTAGATATCCACTTTCATTATCCTATTGGCAGACTACTTGACATTCCAACACGTTTGTGTGATTGCGCCACTTAAAACAGTGCAATTTATAAAATCACCTTTCCGTTTTAATAATTCTAATTGATTGGACATAATGAAAAATGTGGTAACAATTTTTCTAGGGAAAGATTAGTGATGGCATCTTTTTTTTATTAATGATAGAACGTTCACAGAAGATGAGCTTGAAATTTTGGGTGTGAGTCTTTAAGAATTGATGGATAATTTCTGAGGACAGGAGTATCTGATGGATCAAGATAACAAAAGCTATCATTTCCATTAATTAATTTTTGTTTTGAGAAGTAGAGACAACCTCAAATTCACTTTATGTGGATATGGAGGAGTTTAATTACTATAAATAGGTTTCTCTTGCAGAGTTAAGGCAGTTTTGGGAGTAATTATCGATGTGTTGACACGGCCGTTGAAGGTATACTTATGCTCAGGACCAATTGCAATATACAATTACAACCATGAATGGTTTTAAAAGAACTTCTTCTCCTGCACTAGTTCTGTTGAGATAAAGTTCTCAAATTGCTGCTAGATTCAATCTTTCTTGAGCAAGACGATTTCGTCACTGACTGAGAAGAACAATGAACCAGATACCTTCCTTACGTAGGAGGTCATTCACTGGTGAGTCCAGAACTCAGAGAATTATAACGGCTCAAGAACTGCTCCTGGAGTACAGCTTAGTTGTCATTTTACTTGGATGTTTTATCTTAGTTTCACTGTCTTCAAAAATGATTCGTCAACTTGGAGAAACTCGAGATGGATTTCACTGGTTAATTGCTTGATCGTTTTGGTGTTGTTGTACAGTATAAAGTTTGAACTTGTACCTCATTTGAGATTCAATGCTTGGAAGTCCTGTTATTCAACGGGAGAACATTTTTATATGCTGTAAAGAGGACATTTTTGGAGGAATTCCACTGTGCGAGTGTCAGCCCATTAAGTGAAGCTCCCGTGTGCATGCAAGGGAAATGCAAAGGAAATTTGAAGTACATTAATTATGGCAATTTGAATTCAGATTGTCATCATTAGCTGCTGTTTCATATGTGATTTTATTTGTTACATATAGAAGTTCATTTTCGTTTCGTGAATTAAATCAAATGTATGATTCTGTTTTTAAAAAAAGTTTTTAATATGTAATAAAATAGAGTGGCAAAATACTTGTCCAACTCCTACTGGTGCACATTGGTGGTATTGGCTACATATGTTTAGGCAACCACGAGCTCCTTGGCGAATTTATGTTAAGAAAAAAACGTTGCCTTTCCCATCAGGAATGTCACTTTGGCGTTTGACCAAACTTTAAACACATCCTCTCTTTCCCTGTTATAAAGCACTCTTATGATCCAGTCAATTTACATCCACTTTGAATGCAGCTGTCAGCTGTCGGTCTGCTGTATATTGTGCTGTTCATAGCAATAAAAAGAAAAATATGCACAGGTACTTCTATTTGCGGGGCAAAACTACTTACCAGTTTTCCAAAGTTTCGAACAGTTTAGTATTCTCGATGCAAACCATTTAGTGGACAAACGCTGAAACAGTAAGACATCAACTTCATTTATTTGGTGCCGATAGAGTAGACACAAAGGAGATGAAATTTGATAAAAAAAAACGCCGGGACAACCAAGTAAAACCGTCTGAGACTGTCCGCTTGACCTTTACCGATTCTTTTGTCTCAATTCACTCAGGTAAAATTCACAAGTGATTAATGGCCAAAGTAGTTGTTGACAACCCGTCATTCAAGCACCTTTTTGAAGCAAGTTTTGCTGCCAAGAAGGAATCCAAATAACCACAGAAGCCAAATTTGCGAGGTGCCCCATCGCGGGGTACTTGCTACAAGCGACCTGTATGCAGTGCATGGGATATCGTGGTCACTAGTGCGCCCTCTTCAACTCCTGAACAAGGATCCAACATCACGGGAGCTAGAGCAGTTTTATATTCGTAAACTGAAGATAAATGTGCACAACAGTGTAAGTCATGTACGTCTAAGTCTCCTCAAAATTCTCGTAATCGTAAACTGTTTGTTGCCATATTCGAAACAAATTACGATAAACAGATATCTACATAAACAAAGCACGCAATAAACAAAAAAAACGTGGCTGTATCACTAGTCATCAGTGTTCCAATGGAAATTGATACATATAAATTTACGTGCGAGTCTACGTCACTGCCAGTAACAACTGGGACTATATAAACTTCCACTTCTAAACATATGAAGAGGATATATATATATACATATATACTCAAAGAAACGGGCTTTTGTAAAACGGGTTTCGACATAATTATGATACTTGAATATTGTGATTCACCCACGACCCACAACCATGACCCTTTTTATGAAGAAGATAAAAGTTCCTCAATGACTCCACGCAAAGTTCGGCCTCAAAACCTCCTTGAACTTGCTTAGATGTATTATTCGCTGTTAAAATGATGAAAGACGTATGGGCACGATATATCAACTTATTCGGTGTAAAGTTAAATGCCTGCTGTAAGAGTAAGGATCTGTCGTTCCAGTCACGCTTTGACGATTTAACCTCTTGGTCATTTATCTTAATGAAAATTTCATCGACGCAGTGTTGTTTTCCGTGACCGATTATCTCTTTGTCAGGATATTTACCTCACCTGGGTCTTCACATTTTGCCTATAGTAAAATGGGTTTTTCTTTCATCCATGAAAACTACATTGGTTTACCTCTGATAGTGATCGTTTTTGGATCTTGAAAACCAAAGTATCAGGATCTGCAGCTAATACTTTACCATGATGATTTCATTCAATGTTTTTAGATTATTGGAGTAAAATACTTCAGCCTGGAAAGCTGGTAGTTTGCATTCGAAAAATTGAATATGGAGGAGCCGCAAAAATAAGTTTCGAAGCTGCCAACCATTCTTCACGTGAGTTCGCAACTGGAAATCCCTTAAAACCGCAGGGTACAAAGTATATACGCCAAATGCTGTCAGTTTCCCTTATTATTGATAGACAATGTACAGTTCCATGTTAAGCATCTCGGCGGTTGACACGCAGAAAAGTTAGCATAATTAGACGTAAATTCTAGATCAATTTTGGAGACAGGTCGAAACATTAAACAGTGGAGGCACAAGACCACGAGCAGTTCCGTTATTGTGGCGTAATCCATCACACGACATCTAAAAGGACTTCTTTCATTGCATGAAATTACCACTAACTGTCCATCTACATTTGTCAAGCACGTTGGCAATGAGCTACACGTGGAACCAATCAGACCTCCCGGTGGTCGTCCACTGACCCTGCCTTTTTCTCAAAAGCTTATGTGTTCTCTATTAATTTGGTTATGTCGTGCTTAGGGATACAAGGGCAACAGCTTATTGTCGACGCCCCAATGTCGCGACGATCACAGAGTCTTCAGTTGTCACGGAAGGTATGAGTTGAGTCTTAAATGTGCACTGAGACATTAGATTTACTGATTTTGTCTCCTTATTTGGTTTTCTTGCCTTGCCAAAAAAGATGGAAGGTTTCAACTTAATAGCAACCCTCTTCAACCAAACTTTCTCATGAAAAAAGCAACAAAGACAAACTGATAAAAAAGCGAATCAACAGGCAGCAAACATACAAGAAGCAAAAAAAAAACGACAAACAAACAGACATTGTACCAAAAAACTAAACCAAAACGAAACAAACAAGTGAACAGACTGAAAAAGATAAAAAATAATAACAACCATGATGAAATATCAAAATATTCCCTCGATTGGTGACTACGTCTGATGTCCCATATAGAGAAAGTTCTATTAAGACCCAAGAATTCCGAAAAAAGCGTTTTAGGGGGGATCTGAGAAAAAATATTAAAACCTGAAAAAAAAAACATAAAATCATCTCGCTTTCTCTTCATAAAACAGTAAAGATTCAATCTTACAAGCCTTAATTGTCATTTTAACGTGTTAAAAATTGTAAGTAAAATGCTAGACGCCTGACGCCTTGGTAGGATTTTTTTCTTTTCTTTGTGGCCTCCTTGGGTACTTCATCGAAGTATGTAAGGTATGAGGTTATTTTTAGACCGTCAAAGGTAAGTTGTTTCTCGACTGTATTCAGTTACAATACCAGCACGTACAAGTTTAAAACTAGAAAACACAAATTGAATCATTTGATATCCGAAACTAATTTATATTAATTGCCGTGCTACCCTACTAGCTGGTTTTTCTTAATGGGAGACGAAGTGGAAAATTTTTTGGTCAAACCGGTGCAGAAAGTGAGTTATTTTGCACAAAACCATTATTGTCACTAAAATTTTCTGCTATCCTATTTAGACTGTAACTCCGTTTTTTGATACATGTATACACAAGAAAGGTTTAGTCCACCTATTAACCTATTTCGAACGTTTAGGATTGACATACAAAGCTCTTTCTGTTTGCGAGAGCAGCCAGGGGCGAAACGTTGGTCGAGTCTCCCCCACCTAAGGAAGTTGGGAGTATTTCACAATAGTGTCGTTGGATCTTTAAAATGATGTACGCAGAAACTTTAAGGAATATGCGCAGACGGTCTGCATTGACAGAATGATACCTAGTTAATAGCCTGCACTAAAGCAACTGCATGAGCTGGAAATCAAGGCGGAAGAACCGTTCGCAATAATATGATAAAAAGGCAAGTTTTTTAGTGTAGGCATTTCTCGGTATCCTTAGCAGAATGCACTTGAATGGTGTTCCTTCTTGACCGACTGTAAAGTTTTTCTAAAAATATAGATCTCTGCCCCTTTGTAAGAGCATTCGTATCACTCCTTGAGTATGACTCGATCACTTTCGCTACGCAGTTTTTCACTTTACTTTGAAATTGAATGAAAGGGAAAGATGACATTAAGTAATTGCATTAAAAGCGAACAAATTGCGTTAAAGTAAGAGTTTAAGCACGGGAAGTAAATGCGACAAGTTATTTCATATGTTGTTGATTTAATTTCCTTATTTCTTCATTAGACGTCCTTACTCTATCCATACTAGTAAGATGAATACACAGCTGCAAAATTCCGTTGTGACTGGAGGTGGTAACGAAGTTGCAATACGGGAATTCCAAGACCAAGACCTTCACGACTGCCGAGAGATTTTCACTCAGGGAATGGAGCAGTTGATCAGTCTAATAGCACGTATTGTTTTCCCGAAATATATTTGGATTTTATCGGCTTGGAGCATGCTTGTTTTCGTTCTCGTCATCAAATTCCAATGGACCGCATACATCTTCACCCTCCTTGTAATTACTTGTGTCTTGTTTGCTGCTTCGTTGTATCTTAATCTGTATATGGAATGCTGGAGGTTCATCGATTCCTGTCTAGCAACAGACTTAAAGGATATTGGAAAGTGCTACATGTCCAATGAAAAATGTCGCATGTGGGTGGCTGAGTGGAACGGTAAAGTTGTGGGAATGGTGGGACTGATGCACAACGAAAGTCACAAACCAGGTGTGGGCGAACTTCAAAGGATGTCTGTATCACCAGCCTGTAGAAGAATGGGAATCGCTAGGAAACTACTCGACGAACTGCTTAAACATGCCAAGCATCAGCATTTTCACAAGGTTGTTCTAACCACCACAAGTGCACAAATACCAGCCATTCGACTGTACAAGAAATACGGCTTCAAACTCAGAACCTCCATTCCTTATCCTCAAAAGATTCTTAGTGATCTGCAACACTATTGCTTCGAGTTCGAGTTATGACCTTAGCTGTTTTTTTTTTTCCTTTTCGTTGTATAAAAGATCCAAATCCTACACATCTTCAGTTTTTAGGTGAATTATCTTGCTAAACCCTCAACATGAGTGATTGTGCGGCAGCAGGTAAACCAGATCATTATGAAGGAGATTTGAACCTTTCCATCATGGTAAGGAATGTTGTATAACGTAGACCGTAGAGCTATGCTCGTTGGACTCAATTTAATTTAGCATGAAAACCAAACGTGTATTTTCCGGCCATTATGAATGGTCTTGCAAATGGAATTATTTTGAGAAGAAATATGATCATGGACACACCGCTGTCTACTAAAATTTGCTCATGCTCTAAAATCATCTTGACTATGTAATGCATCAAATTCTAGTTTTACTCGACTTGCAATTATTACTTTTCAACCAGAGAAATGCTTTAAAAGAACGATAGAGTTGGATTAAAGTAAGCTAGGATTCTTCCCCTCCCTTTTCACGAGATGAAGGTTTTACTGTTTTCTCCTCGCAGAAATACTACATGGATGGCTTGAAAAAGGTTTTCGTATACGCACACAGACAAGCTGGGACAAATAAATACATGTAAGAGGCCGTCTTGGCAACTGGTCACGATACAGGAAAGAGGCTTTACCGCTCAGTCACGGATTGAGCCACAAATTGACCACAATTTCTGGCCAAATCCATTCAATAATTCATTATTTGTGATTCCTCAAAGAGTTCTTAGTGAGCTATCCTTTTTCCGTCTTGGTTTTGAAGCATCTTTTTTTGCATGTTTGTCCATCCTTGTGAACTGATAGCTGCCATGTCAGGTTGGCATGTTTTCATCTTCCAGGCGAAAAAAACTGAAAACTGAACAAAACAAACCAAACCGAGAAAAACAAAACAAAAGGAATAAATTAACAGAAACAGAAACTAAAAGTAAGGAACAAAACGAAAACAAAATGAACGAACAAAAAACATATAACTTACTGATCTCTCACATTTCAAAATGATGACAGGAAGTTGAAATGTCACGTTACGCTATTTTCGTTAGCTTTCCTTCTAAAAACAAATCTTGACTTATGCCAAATTGGCTCGTTTAAGATTGAGACAACTGACATGGAAACACAGTTGCGTAATTGCTTCCTTTTTTTCTTGGAAAAGAAGCTTCACCTTTCTGATGGTGGGTGACTAATCCTGCTTCTGCCTCGTAGTCACATACAACGTTCTGTAAGTGACTAGCTTCATTAATATGCGATGTAAACATAACTGTACCATATCTGTGCACACTTGGGGTTATATTTACTTAAGATCTGATAACTTACAATTATGAGTCCTTTTGTAATTGCAAATGGAGATATTTTATGCTATTTCTGTGAGTGGGGATTTCATCATAGTTGGATAGAGAACAGAATACTTTGTTAAAAATTACAAACTCGGAGATTAAAGAAATTTCCAACATTTTTCTAAACTTTGTAAATTAATTGTTTGTGTGGGGGAAAGTTTAAAGATCAGAATTGAATGGTCAAATTAGCAGTACAATGTGTTTGGTTTTTAGTGCAGGAAAGGGAGAGAAAAGGGATGGTGGGGAACTTCAGAAAATCTATTTTGAACCCATCCCCTCCAACTAATTGCAATCGAACCGGCCCCATGGTTTTAAGACACCTTGTAGACATCAGAAAATGCAATGATACGGTTTTTTTCCTTTCATCTTTTTTTTTTTCGAGTCACAAATACTTGTTTGTTCAGCCCAATCAGATGAAAATGGTGCCCAGGTGTTTGGAAGATTTCCGATTTGATGAAAAAAGACAGTCAACTTAGCGTAAGGAAAGCAAACTACATTCAGTGACATCTGCTACAGCACCTTTATAAAATAATAAATTTAAAATAGATAAAAAAAAAWAATAATAATATAGATCGATTACTATAGCGCTTTTCCATGTAAAATGCTCTAATGCGCTTTACAACACTGTGCGGGGGACTTTTCCAGACTGCCGGCGGCAGTTTACAATTAACAAAGGAGAAATTTTACAGCTTCCCCCTCTTATCCCTCTAGATAGCGCATCTAGTCTCTTGTTATATTAGCGTGCACAGCAAACGTTCGCATGGTGCACTTAGCAGCAATCATTTCGGTGAAATCACGAGATGCCTTTCAGTGACCTTGCCGGTCGCAATTAGTGGGGCAATTTGTATCTCGACCGCGGCGGTATCACTAGAAACGAGATCTTTAACATAAGCGACGTTACTAATTGGATCTTCCTTTGACGTCCTTAGTAGTATCCATTTATTTTAAGCACAGACGCATAGTTTATAGACCAAGAAGATTAGCAGCTTAACTTATACAAGAGACATGTAGTTATGGAGACCATCCGAGTCACACGTGCACACACCGTTGGGCCAATCTGGCGATTGACCCCACAAAGCAAGCCACTTCCGAGAAAAATTCTCAATCCCAAGGTCAAATAGGGTTTCAATACATTTTTATGAGGGAAAACAAATCCCTTATCTCAAAAAAAGTAAAAAATTAAATTGTTTGAAATTTTCCTATTCAGCGTTACATCGTTCTATTTGAACGCATGCGCAACGATGAGATCCCAGAACGCCATGGGATGTAAAGAAGACCTCAGATCAGGAAATTTCTTAAAACGTTTTCACATTTTCCGTTTCCTAAACAATGGCTCTTAAAAAGCTAATAGACCTTTTCGATAAGAAATCTGATATTTTATTCTGTTAAATGCTTTGGGGAGTAAGCAAGGAAGCGAGACAGCAGGCAAGCAAGCTGTTAAGTACTGAGTTACATCTAATTTCCTTTTTGCTTGGCCTACGAACATGGAGAGAGGTGTTTCTTTGGAAAAAAAGGATACACGCCTGTCCTAAAATTGACCCTGGAAGCATACTTTGCTTTACAGCCAACGGTCCGGACATGGACGGTTTTCCCTAACGAGATCTATTGCTTTCTCAAGGAGAGAGGTGTTGCTTAGGAAAAAAAGGAAACACGCCGGGCCTAAAATTGACCCTTGAAGCATACTTTGCTTTACAGCCAACTGTCCGCACATGGTTTTCCCTAATGAGATCTATTGCTTTCTCTAGGACAAATAATATTTAAACCAGTTAGCTCAACAAAAGAAGGGTTTGTTCCGTAAATAGACAACTTTTTAGTTAGGAGGGCAAGGTCTATAAAATGTCCTGATCGAAGGGCTGATTGCAGATCGTGCAGCAGGTTGTTATTGCAACAGAGAGCTGGCCAAGTGTTTTTCAAGATTCTTTGAGAGAGCAGGTAAAACAGGTACTGCGAGGTTATCACTTGCAGTTTTTTCTCGTTATTGACCTGACTCTGAAGGTAGCGGTAACGCCGCGAGACTTCACTCTGGTAAATTTTTCTCATTTTTTCTTATCATTGGCGAGAGATGCATAGTCGCATGTTTAAATAATCCCTATCATTTTCCTTGGAAATCATCTCGGTGGTTGACATGCAAAAAAGTTGGCATAATTTCGGGAGCGGGATCGTTTAAATTCTTGGACATGACGGACTGTAAAGCTGTGATGGCGCTGGACCACGTGCAGTTTCTTTATCTAAGCGTAATCCAATGCATGGAAGAAGACATCTTTCATGTTCCGAAATTGCCAAATGATAACAATTCGTCCGTCCGTCAACCATCGAGGCAATGATATACATGAAAAAAAAAAAAAACAGACCAGACCTCGAGAACGTGACATACCCACTCTACCTCCTTTCTGTTGTAATCAGTGTGTTACTAATTTGGTATGTCTTGCCTCAACAGACAAGCTGTGATAGCGCTAGACCACAGGCAGTTCATTTGTTTAAGCGTAATCCATTGCATCGCATGAAAGAGGGACATCTTTCTTGTTACGAAATTGCCAATGATAACTGTCCGCCGGTCTAACTGTCAACCAGCCAGACTAAGGTATACACGTGGAACAGACCAGACCTCGGGAAGGTAGCCCTACAAACCCTACTTTTTTTCAAGGGATTTTGTGCCTCAACAGACTAGAGCAGCGGACTACTGTAACCGCTCTACTGATGCGACGATTTCAGAGCTTTTAGTCACGAAAGGTTTCAAGGCAAGTATTTCACGTGTCTGCTTTTACCTTAGATTTAGTGCTTGTTGTTTTCTTCCCCTCAATATTTGTGTCTTGTAAAATAAGTTAAATATATCAAAGAAAGGAAAACAAAGTATATCAACACAAAACTAAACTAGAATCGAAGAAAAACAATCCATGACTAACATATAGACAAGCAGACCGAACAAAATGATAAAAGTGGTGAGGATGACAATGATATAATTATAATAATAACAATAATAATAGTCATAATAATAGAAGTAATGTTAATAATGATAATAATTGTTTTTATTCTGGGCACCCAGATTTACAGACTGCCGTGATAATAATAGGGACTTTAAGCAAACCACGACGGCTACGGTAACGAGACCGTGGAAAAACAATAGATCTAACTGGCAGAACAATAGCCCAGCACGTGCGTTTTAAAACTTTGTACATTTCTTAACCGTCCTTCGCAAAACAACGTGAAATGACCAAAATTTGCGTCGTCTGCAAAGCGAAACCGCGGCGGCAAATCATTTTAATTTACATTTGGAACTCAACGCTACTTTTATGCTTTATGTTGAGTTTGAGGTCTGGCTTAAAGTAGAAACTAATTTTTTAATCGACGTCTTCCGTGGCGTTGCCGTCCTGACTGCTTAAAGTCCCTAATGATACCAAGAGAGAGGTTCAATGACTATGAAGAGACCCCCTTGCGACATACACCGAATGCAAATATGGCGTCCAATTTGAATTGCCATTGTTCTGGACTGACTAGCCTCGTCTTCACGTGGAAACACAAAAGGATTATTACATGTGTGAGAGACTAGTCAGTCCAGAACAATGGCAATTCAAATTGGACGCCATATTTGCATTTGGTGTATTAAGAACATTGACATTGACATCAAAACAACAGAAAGCGCCACGTCTTTTGAATTTTAGACTTTAAATAGTCCTTTTTTTCTACTATTAGTCCCTTCGTAAATCAGTTGAATTTTTGACTATTTATCGTTTACAAGTTTTTGAAAAATTAAATCCCAAATATTTACATTTTTATGTTGGCAATTGTACGAGTGAACTGTTATTTTGCTTTAGCTTTGCAAGTTTAAAATGAGTGCAATTAGATAGGATTTGTATTTTGATAAAGTTGTTTAAATTACTTTTACAATTTTTAAAATGATAATAATAATTCTACTTGTTATAATAACGATAATAATAATGATAACAATAATTATAATAAGAACACGAATTATAATAATAATAATGATTATAATACACTTAGACCGCTGCTGTGCTTTTGGCAGAAGTTTTAACGATGTTGCGTTCTTGAATACCTAGTAAAAGTATGAGTGGCATGAAGTTATTTTTAGGCAATCAAAGGTAAATTTTTGCTAGCCTATATTCAGTTACAATGCCAGCACGTACAAGTTTAAGATGGGTTAATGCACATCGAATCACTTGATAGCCGAACTAATTTGCTTAAATTTGGGTGCAATAGAATTGCAACTGCTGCTCTGCCGGCTGAATTTGGTGTAGGAGGCGAGAGGGGGGAAGTTTTTTGCCGAAGACAGCGTAGAAAGTGAGTTATATATTTCATTAAAGGCTGATAGTTTCAAAAGAAACTGTTTGGGGCTGCGTCGGTGGGAGTAACGAAATAATTTGGATATATCAATAAAGTTGAAACGGTAAATTGGCCACCGTAACGATTACAAAAGCTGATGTTTCGAGCGTTACTGTTTGGGGTTGCGTCGGTGGGAAGGGCTAACGCTCGAAACGTCAGCTTTTGTAATTGTTACAGTGGCCAATTTACCATTTCAACTTTGTTGATATATCCGATATATTTCATTACACTCTTTTTGTCTCTAATGTATTAGAAGGATATATTGTTCCATTAAGGCTATTGACTGTAGCTCCCTTTTTTCTTCCTACATGTATGCATTTCATGTATGTGCAAATTTTCTAGCTGAGTAGTACATGTTTAACGTCTGGAGCAAAGTCGCTCAACTCTTACAGTCTGCAAGAGTAGCGGGGCGAAACATCATCAGAGTAGCTCCTATTAAGGCAACTTGGAAGTATTTCGTAAAAATGCCACTGGATCTTTAACACGGCACTTTGTGGATATATATAGGCATATAAGAAAAGGTTTTCCGTCGAGAGAAAAAAACACAAAAATATGATTTAGTCTTTACCATCACATGTACTCCTAAATAGTGGTGAAAGTTAGAAGTGTTTTAATCTAAGCTTTGTAGATCCCACAGGCAAATGATTGTGTAATATATTGCTTCTGGCCGATTATAGATTTAGTGAAAAGATCGATACCCAACCTCCCTTGTTGGGAGTAAAGACTTGTGTATGGATGTCATCGTCAATTTCCTTTACCTAACTTCCCTTTCACTTGGAGAGAATTGTATCTTAACCAATTCCGTCAGCTGCGTGATTGCAAGCCTTGCTAGTAATTGATCGCATGATCTGAATCTAAAAGCAAACTGGTCCTAGAGCGAGCAAAATAGAGCAAAGTAGGTACTTGGATACGATGACTAACTCACTGTATCAGATTGTTTAATTGGTATTAAGCCGGTTTTTCTTGCCTTTTTGTTAGACGGATCTAGCTTAAGATGAACACACAGCTGCAATCTCTTGCTTTACATAAAAGTGGTAACGAAGTCCTAATAAGGGAATTCAAAGACACAGACCTTCATGACTGCCAAGAGATTTTCACCAATGGAATGGAACAGTTGATCAGCTTGGTAGCACGCGTTGTTTTCCCGAGATATATTTGGATTTTATTGATATGTAGCTTCGTTGTTTTCGTTCTTACACTTACATTCCAGTGGATCGTAAGTGTTTTCTTCTTCTTTGTGGTTGGTTGCGTCATTTTGGCGGCCTTGCTGTATTCAGTGTTGTATATAGAATGCTGGAAGTACATCGATTCTTGCTTGGCAAAGGACTTAAAAGACATCAAGAAGTGCTACATGTCCAGTGAAAAATGTCGCATGTGGGTGGCTGAGTGGAATGGTAGAGTTGTGGGAATGGTTGGGCTCATTCATAACACAAGTCACAAACCAGGGGTTGCTGAGCTTCAGAGAATGTCTGTATCACCAGCCTATAGAAGAATGGGAATCGCCAGGAAACTGCTCGACGAGCTAATCAAATTCGCAAAGGATCAGCAATTTCAGAAGGTTGTACTGATCACCACTAACGCACAAACACCAGCCATTCGACTGTACAAGAAATACGGCTTCAAACTCAGAACCTCTATTCCTTATCCTCAAAAGATTCTCAGTGATCTGCAATACTACTGCTTCGAATTCGAGTTATGACCCTCAAGCTTTTTACCTTTTTACTCGGAACCGTCTACCATAGAATTGGACTTAACTCATCAACGATTTTTCGGTGAATTCTTTTGCTAAAATCCATAACGAAGGGAAAGAGAGGTGAGCCAATTCAGTCTGATCATACTTGAGCTGTCAGCAGCATCGAGTCATAAAGACAAAGGTTGCTTCGATTAATATAAGAAAATTTTTACTCAAACTGAAGTCAAAGGGCATAACTCATTCAATAAGTTTAGATGTTGAAAATGTTCTATCAGCTATTGCGGTGGTCTTGTATTTGAAGTTATGTGTTAAAAAGCATACAGAAATCTTCTGCTGCCCTAATCACTTTTAAATCACACAATATCATTTTTAAATTTCTCTCATGCTACTTTACGTTTCAAACAGTGATAGAGTTAGATCAAGGTGGGCTACCTTTCTTTCTATTCCCCCCTTTTTTTCTCCCTCCACGTCACGGATTTGGCATGTATAGCTTCGCCAAGTCATTATTGAGCATAAAATTTATATTTCTTCCACTTAATTGATATTTCCTGTACTTGTAAATAAGATGTGATTAGTGAGTACATAGAGCAGGTCTTAACGGCCATCGGTCACGCTGCAGAAAAGGAGCCAAACTGATTAGTTAGTCAGTATTTCGCGTGAAATTTCTCTTTCTTCTGCCATTCTTGTACTTTCTTGGCATATCAATGTCCCCTTTAGAGTTTTCTCGGTCTTCCTAAACTGTTAGTTCCACAATGTCATATTGAATTCAGTTTTTGATGCTCCCCCCCCAAAGAAAATAATAAAAAAAACTCAAAATTCAGCTCCTTTAAGATTTAAACAATTGATATGGAAACGAAGCTTAGGTAATTGCATTTTTTTCAGCTTGAAATAGAAGCTGGCCTTTCTGATGATGGATACGTATTCCTGACTTATAAATTCGTTTTGATACGAGTGGTTTGTTTCATTTTCATATAGTGCAAGTGCAGGAGTGCGATTTTAATGTACTTCTGAGTTGTGTGTACAAAGGTTGACATATGCGAACATAGATGCACGTTTTCATTGCATATATTGATATATTTAATGTTTTTCGATAAACAAAGATGTTTCGAGAACTTTCTGAAAGATAAAAAGCAGAAAATGGTATCAAAATGATTGTCATGAATTTCGAGATTTATTATGTTAAGGGCTGATAAAAAAAATGTATATCGATAACTTTCTTCGGAATTATGGAGAACCGATAAATAGTTCTTTCCCGTTTTTAAATACGTTTTGTGAGGAAATTGGATTTTGTATAATAGAAATTAATCATAGAAATCGAAATTCATTGCACTTGATTTTGAGTTTTGGTGAGAAAAGGTGATGAGGGAGGGAGGGAAGGGTAAAGTTTTCCGAAAAAACTCCTGGGAAACCAAGCACCCTCCGACAAACTGCAAGGACACCAACCCCTTGGTTAGGAGTTCGAGACTTCGTTCAAGTCCTAAATTTAAAAATCTTGGGTCTTTCCAAAAGTGTCACAACATTTGAACGTGAATTTCATTACGTTACAAAAACGTCATTAACCAGCGCACTGGTTATGACAACAACCACGTGAGTTGTCACGTAATCTATCATGCTATCAGTCTGGACAATGATCACATTCATGGCGGGCCACATGGCTGACGGACGAAAACGTCCAAGTGACTCGTGTGACAAAATTTGGGCCTAAATGTCTTAACGTTACAATAACGTCATTGATGACGTAAATAAAACGTCATGAAACTGTGCACTGGTTGTGCAACTACCGTGTGATCTGTCAGGCCATCTGTTACTCTATTACTCACTGATCACATCATGATTCCACGTGATTTATGAAAGACACCTATCATGTGAGTGACCTTAACGCACTTCATTTTCCCACAAATTTGAGTCCATGACTTAGTTTTGATAAAAGAACATTTCGTCTTTTTACAATGAGCTCTGATAAGAGCAATTCAACAGATTACGTTGCCCATGACTATCTTCGGGTAAAAAGTCAAAACATACAATGGCATTCTATCCGCAGTAAAATTTTTAGTCGGCTCAAACAGGAATAAGGAACAAAATTAAGCTAATTAAAAGCGATTTTTCAAATAATAAGCACCAAGATATAATAAATGATAAAAATTCAACAAAAAAGTCACCAAGGGCTGGAGGTTACCACAACTTCACAACAGCTCTGTAACGAAAGTCTTGCAACCGAAAAAAAAATTGAGTGTATTAACGACTCGTTATGCCCTAAATGATGTGACTCAACGAGCTTTTTTCTCTCGTCTTTAGGCTTCTTTTACATTAAGTTTCAACAAAGCATAAGTTTACCTTCGAGAACGGGATTAATGGAACAGTTTGGTATTGTTTCGCAACTGAGGGCAAGCGGGCTATGAATACTTCATATACGTGTCTATTTTGGTATTGCAGCTGGAGGCCGGAAAGCATTATGTCCTCTAATCGCCTCACCTCTTAGATTAGTATATCCCTTCAGACATCTATGTAAACCAAGAGCCAAGACTTCGTGAAACGTTGCCAAAGTAAACTAAAGCTTGAGCGGAAAGTTTTGTTCTACCAAGTGTAGTTGGGAATCATTAATGTAATGTGCATTAACTGATTAAAGCTGCTACGAAACTTATGTCAAAGTTATTGCCATGTTATTACTTTTAAATACATATCACTCACCAATCATCGGTTAATACTCATTTCTGTTGGCAAATTCCTTTCTTCACGTGTGGCAAGACCTTTCTCGTATCCATGGGGGCGATGACGTTAACCTTGGGACCTAAGAACGTTTCAGTTACACAATCGAAAATACACTTACAGGAAATTCTTATTTCTCGTTTTAATGTCAAAAACATTGTTTGTGGGGATGAAATTAACGATACAGGAACCTTTTTTCACTGACAAAACAAAGGAGAGGCTCTTCTTTAGGTTAGCGTGCATGACAAATACGTGCGTGTTGCCTTGAGGGGCAAATCATTCTCGAAAATACCCGAAACTCCAAACTTGAAATAACAGCACTTGACCTTGCACCGACTTTTTCGGTCGTAAGTGGGAGGCGATTTAAAAATAAAGTGTATCTTGACACCCCCAGACGGGATCACCGGAAACAAGATCATTTTTTAGAGGGATTACACATTTACTACGTCACCGGCATGGGGCATTGACGCAAGCAGTTCTCTCGTTGCGGTCTAAGGGTAACTTATTTATTAAGAAAGACACACAACTTAGAGCCAGAAGATTGCAAGCCGAACTTGTAGAAGAGGTAAACTGTAGCAGGGATTTTCTTACAGCAGTTATGGACACTACCCGTCTCAAACATTTCGTGCCGGTAGCGATTGACAACACAACACGAACCACTCCCGAAGACTATGAAAGGCGATTTGAATTCCGTTCCACGACGGACCGAATTCGTCTCGAGAGAATATACGGAACTCCAGAGATTCTTCTTGAACTTGCCATGCTCATCATAGTCCTGGGGATTGCACTTGCTGTTTGTCTTGTAAGGCACAACGTTTCAAACTAGGAATGAAGCCCCAGGAAAAGAAGTCAGCGCCACGATTACACAGGAATTCCACACTCCGGTGTCAAGGAGGATTTCTCTGGAGAACTCGGGAAACTTAGAACAGAAAGAGGATGGCATGAATAGCAGCTAACGACGCTTCTCACGTTAGAACAACTAAGTATAAAATTACCTGATGTCTTGAGCTATCATTGGAAAACTGTTTTACCTGAGTTATACCGAATCGCAGCTCCTGCATCTGAATGAGAGCGTATCACACAGGAAAAGGAACAAACTTGTTGGGACCAACAACACTAGGCCTATAAATAATGGTCCTTATGCAGCAAGTCACTTCAAGATCCAAGATAATGAATATTTTTTTGTATTTTCAGATGGTTAGATACATTCTCTGCCTTTATTATACAGAAGGGTACTAGTGAGACCTTTTTTTCAAAAAATGCTTCTCGTTTTTAAAACCGTAAGGCCTACTGAGATCGTATAAGGTTTTGGTGCATGTACGTACAGTAAAAAAAAAAAAAAAAAAAAAAAAAAAAAAAAAAAAAATTCATAGGCGATAAAGTTTTATAGAGGAAATCAGTCGTGTTGTTTACCTATGCAGCCTGCGTAAATCCATCCCTCGCCACTTGAGCCCATAAAAAAAAAATAAACGAAGAAATAAACTTGAAAAAAAAACTGAGAATAAACCTAAAGGAAAAAATACATAAAAGAATGAAGAGCTTTTCTCGCCCAATCCCAATAATATTTTAATTAGAAAATAAACTGGTCCATCTGATTTTTTTTCATCTTTTTTAATATGTTAAAATTTCATCAACCTTAATCAGCATCCTTTTGGGCTGAAATCATTGGTCTTCTTCCCCTGTTTTGATCTCTGGCATTTGTTCTTAAGTGCCGTAGTGGAAGCGGGCGGAACATAAGTCCTACGACTTCGAGTGAATAAATATCGAAACGCGTCCATTTCAGTCATATAGCTTCATCCTGTGGAAAATAGTGTCTAGAAATACCCGGTGTATGTGCATTATTTGAAGCTAACATCATTTGGCGCTCCTGACAATTAATACGTTCGTCGACCTCGAGGGTCCTCTCTTTCTGCTCCCCCCTCTCAGTAAATTTAACTCCCTTACGGAAGAGTAGGTTCGCAAGCTCATCGACAGCAGCAAAAATAAAAGCTGCAGTCTAGACCCTATGCCAACATCTCTAGTGATAGACTGCATTGACGTGCTTTTACCGATCATAACCAAAATGATTAATCTAGCACTTGAGTCTGGGGTATTCGCTGATGACTGGAAGTGTGCGCTCGTCCTTCCTCTGCTGAAGAAGCCTGGGCTAGACCTTCTATTCAAAAACGACAGACCTGTCAGCAACCTGCAGTATGTTTCAAAGCTGACTGAAAGGATGTTGTACGAGCAGAATCACACCCGTATGATGATGACTCATTCACTATATCCTGAGTTTCAGTCTGCATATCGTAAAAACCATAGTACAGAAACGGCTCTTGTTAGAGTCACGAACGATTTTCTCATGAAAATGAACACTCAAGATGTCACCTTGTTGGTCATGCTTGATCTTAGTGCCGCTTTCGATACGATTAATCATAACATCCTCCTTACTCGTTTGAATGAGGAGCTTGGGATATGTGGATTGGCGTTGGAATGGTTCAGGTCGTATCTGGCGTAAAGAGGCCAGCGAATCTCCATCGACGGATCTCTTTCAGAGCGCTTTAACCTGGAGTGTGGTGTCCCACAAGGGTCATGTCTGGGCCCCCTGCTCTTTCTCATCTATGTATTCAAGCTATTCAGTGTGGTTGAAGATCAACTTCCATACGTGCATTGCTATGCCGCCGCCGACGACGACGACGACGACGACGACGACGACATAATAATAATAATAATAATAATAATAATAATAATAACACCTTTATTTAGGCACGATAATGTTTAAAGCTGGACAGCTTGTGGGGTCGTGTGTAAATCCAAATAAACTGTAAATGAAATAAATTCAAATTATGATGGTTTTTGAGGAGAGGAGAAAACCGGAGTACCCGGAGAAAAACCTCTCGAAGCAGAGTAGAGTAGAGAACCGACAAACTCAATCCACTTACGACGCCGGGTCCAGGAATCCGGGAATCCGGGTCCGGACACATTGGTGGAAGGCGAGCGCTCTCACCCCTACGCCAACCCTGCTCCCCACACAGATTTATCTGAGTTTCAAACCTATCAGTAACACATCCCAGGAAGGTGCAATCCGTGCGATGGAATGTAGTATCGAGAAGATCAGGCGCTGGCTGATCCATGATAGACTCCTTCTTAATGACGATAAGACTGAGTTTATTATTATTGGAACACGCCAGCATCTTAACAAATTGCAGGCTATGAATATTAAAGCAGGTGGTTCAATGATAAAATCTAGCCATCAAGTTAAGAACCTTGGAAGCTGGCTTGATCCAAACCTCAATATGCGCCACCATATTACTAAATAAATGTATGTAAGGCGGGTTTT